ATGAAATAATGTATGAACTCTGTCTCATTACTCATCCGAACATCACCAGCCCACCATCAAAACACCCAGCTGTGTAATAATAATTAAATTCAGTCTTCCTTGATATTTTGTCACTTTCAGTCATATAAAACCATCACTTTACATGCATATTTCAACTTACCTTATGCAGACATATTTGTCAAGGTGGGGAAATCAAACTATTTTATTTAACGTTTTCAAATATCTGACAAAGATATGGAGACCTCTATTTATATTTTTGTTCTGGGCTCTGCAGTGTTGGGCCAGGCCTGCCTGTGCACTCCCTGCCCACCGGCTCTCCCTTCTGTGGGGCTCAGGCCACCCGTGCTGGTCATTTCAGCTGAGTATCATCAGCTCAGTTGCCAGCCTGCCCTGCCTTCCCCGGAGTCTGCCTTTTAGAAAGTGCTCTAGACGTGCAGCGTCCGGAGCAACTCAAATGCCCTCGAGGGCAGTGACCATGACTTGCCGGGCATCTCCCACAGACCTGGTGCCCCTGAAAGTCCCTTACATTCCAGCCGTATCTGTGAGGGGACCCGGTGGGAGGGCCCAGCAGCCTCTGGCTCCCAGGCTGGTAGCCCCGGCCACCAGGTTGTTCTGGTGTTTAATGTTCATCTAGTTGCCAACATAAAGAATTAGCATCATACTTCATGTCACATTGATTTGAGTAATAGGCATTGTTAAGTATAATAGTCCCCCTTAGTCACAGGGGATACATTCCAAGACCCCCAGTGGATGCCTGACACCACGGATAGCACCAGGCCCTATACAACTGACCCTGAACAACGAGGGTTCGGGGCACTGACCCCTGCGCAATCAAAAATCCACCTATAACTTAAGTCGGCCTCCACGTACGCAGATTCCCAGCTGCAGATTGAAAATACAGTTGACTCTTGAACAACACAGATTTGCACTGTGTGGGTCCGTGTATACCTATGGGATTTTTTCCAAACCTGTGTTGATCAAGTATATATGCTATACTTTTTCTTATACATATGTACCCATGATAAAGTTTAATTTATAAATTAGGCACAGTAAGAGATTAATAACAATAACCAATAATAAAATAGAACAATTATAACACTACTAGAGGCCCAGCGCACAGAATTGTGCACGGGTAGGGTCCCTAGGCCTAGCCTGTGATCAGGGTCCTCTCCCGCCCACTCACCAGTCCTCAGTCCCGCTCTGTCACCACCCACCCCGATTTCCGTGGTTCCCCATTCGCCATCCTGCAATCGGAGGCTGCGGGCGGGGGGGGGGGGGGGGGGGGGGGACCAAGAGGTGGTCAGTGCACCTCATAGCGATTGGTCAAGCAGTCGTTATGCTTTTATTATATAGGATGTTGCAATAAAAGTTATGTGAATGTGATCTCTCAGCAAACTAGCACAAAGCAGCATAATTTTTTTTTCTTATTAAGTTGAGAACTTTCACCTTTTCACTTAAAAGAAGCGTTTTATGGTGTCCGTTGGGCATATCTGAATTTCCAGCATCACTGCTCTTGCACTTTTTTAAGTGAAATGTGGCTACTTGGACACAAGCACTGCGACACTGTGATAGCCAAGGGCTAGAGGGCTGCTCAGTGACTAAGGGTAGGGAGCATCGACAGTGTGCACCAAGCATGGACAAAGGGACGATGGATGTCCAGGGCCGGATGGAGTGGGACCATGTGGCATTTCATCATGCTACCCAGAATGGAGAGCAATTTAAAACTCATGAATTGTTGATTTCAGGGATTTTCTATTTAATAATTTTGGACCATGGTTGACCATAGATAACTGAAACTGTGGAAAGTGAAACCGCAGGTAAGGGGGGACTCCTGGACCGTAAGATGTTCCTCAGCCACTGTGCGCATTAACAGTGAATAACAACACTAATTCACAAGTACTTTTAGGGCCACAAATTGGAAGAGGGAGAAAAAGCTCCCCTCCCCCCGCCCAGTAAAAGGATGCCCAGCATTACTGGGAAACAGATGAGGTCAAGTCTTCACTTAATGCTGTTTATAGGCCCTTGGAAACTACCACTTTAAGTGAAACGACATATATTCAAGCCAACTTTGGCATAGGCTAGTTGATATAAAAAAGAATAAGTTCCTACAGCATATTTCTGGTCACAAAACCATCACCAAACTTATAAATAGGGACCCAAATTACTTCTAATATTTAACATTGGAATAAATGTGAGCTGTACATACATTTAAGAAAGACGAATAAAAAGTAAAATAATGAATTTCCAACCCACTTATTCCAATTTAGGGTCAAGGATGGGCCAGAGCTGGAGTTTAAATCTAGGTATCAGCATTCACTCATATCTGTATATGCATTCGTTCACTTATTTAAAGCCCATATTCACTTCTTCCAATTCTTCATTTCATTGTGGAATGCCAGGCCATAATAGTCTTGTAGCACAGCCCCATGACCCTACAGGTGAGGGGATCGAGGCTCAGAGAAGGCTGCTGGTGTACCTAAGATCGCACAGCAGAGAAGTCCCCACAGGGGTTTCGTAGCGGGAGGATGGGTGCTGTGTTTGAGTTCTACGTAAAATCTGACTGTCCCAACCAACTTCCCTTCATCAGACTCTGCTACCCAGGCCCCCCACCACAGGGCCCTGGGGAGATCCTACAGGGGGTTTCTGTTTGAAGAGCCACTTCCTGTTTGGGGCTGAGCACTTCCTTCAGGTGACTCACAGGCTCCCGCTGGCCTCATGCTGGGAAGCCAAGGAGGGGGTGGAGGCAGCCCTGGCAGTGCCACCCTCCTCTGCCTGCAACCCCAGCTGGGTGACCCTGAGACTGAGCAGTGCCACAGACTGGAGGTAGGAGATGGAGGTGGAAAGAGGGTGCTAAACTGTGCTCCTCACCCGGCTTGGTGGGCAGGGCTCTGAGCGAGCAGGGCACTCAGCCTGCCGTGGGCGGAGGGGCAGCCTCCACACCCAGTTATTCACTCCCACACCTGGTTTCCAGGGTAGCTGCTGCCAGGTGGGGGCTGACAGCAGAGCTGGGACCCCTTAGGATGAATTTGTGATACTTTCTCTTCCTTGCAAGACAGTGAAGTGTGATAGAAAGTGCACTAGGCCAGGAGTGATGGACTTGGATTTCTGAAGCCTACTTTTGGTGACCTTGTCATTCTCTGCCCTTCTCTGAGCCTCAGTAGCCATGTCTGTCTAATTGCGGGGGAAGGGAATACTGGCTATGACATTTTGTGGCACTTGGTGTTGTAGGATTTACATGAAGAGAATTGGGTTTGGCTGGCTGGTGTGGATCAGTGGTTGAACATCAACCCATGAACCAAGAAGTTGCAGGTTCAATTCCTGGTCAGGGCACATGCCTGGGTTGCGGACCAGATCCTCAGTGGAAGGTGTGCAGGAGGCAGCTGATCGATGTTCCTCTCTCATCGATGTTTCTATCCCTACATCCCTCTCCCTTCCTCTCTCAAAATCAATAAAAACTTTTTTTTTTTTACAAGAAAGAGGGAGAGAAAATTGGGTTTGAATTCTGGCTCTGCTCCCTTGTTGGATGTGCCCACCTCTCAGAGGTGCCATTTGAAAATCTGAAATAATAATCCCTTTAGTCATTTTACATAATGTAAGCCTCAAGCCTCAACCCTGTGGGTAGGTATTATTGCTGTTTTATGCGTAAGGAGATTGAAGCCCTTACTAAGTCCACATAGTAAGAGCCAAGATTCTAACTTGTTCAGTGTGAACCCAGCACCCATGCTGTGGTCTTGCTACTCAAACTGTGGTCCCTGCACCTGTCGCCTCAGCATCACCCAGGAGCTTGTCAGAAGCGTAGACTCGCAGACCCCAGCCTAGACCTTATCAGTCTGCATTTGAACAAGAGCTCCAGGTGACTTCTTTGCACATTAAAGTTTGAGAAGCCCTGCTCTACTGATATTCCCTCTGTCACTGAGGTCTTAGGATCACTGTGGCAGATGAAGGAAATGAGTGTGTTTTGTAAACTGTAAAGTGTGGCCCCCTCAGGGCACTGTGGAGGTGGAGGGAGGCAGGGCTGCGGGTGCCCCGGGAATCTGTCCCTCAGTAGCAGGATATCATTTCCAAACTGTCTCTGAACCCAGCTCTGCCCGCTTCCCATCCAGGGCTGAGTCTTGGCTGTGTGTTTATTGCTGGTGTGTGGCTCTAGGGTCCAACTGGGTCAGAGAGAGTTTTCATGTTGGCATGAACTTGTGCTGGGCACCAGGTCTGAGCTATCACTGCGCTGGGTCTGCAGGGCACCAGGAAACCTGGGTTCCAGCCCTGGCTCTGCCTCTGACACTCTGGGTGGCCTACGCAGGCCCCCGGCCCTGCCAGCCTGTGTCCCTAAAGGGCAATGTGGCAGCATCCTCTGAAGCCTGCAGTCTGACCTGGACCCCTTCCCTTTCCTCCTCTCTCCCCGTGGCCTGTTGGCACCATCTTTCCTCCCTGGTGCTGGGCAGGAGGGCTGCCCACTGGGCTGTAAGAGCTGGTGTTGGGGAGGTGGTGCATGAGTCAGAAGTAAGCCACGTAATTTCGGTGCCGCAGATCCCGCCTCCAGCCCTTCCTCTGCGGCTGCTTTAGAACAGCTGGTGTGGTGGCTGCCTCTGGAGAAGCAGGTCCCCGGGCAGCACGCAGGGGCCTCTGCCTGCCAGGAGCTGGGCACAGCCCCGGGTTTCATCCCCTGGCGACTGGACCTGGGATCATGCTTGCGCAGTTCCTGGGGAAGGGGAGGGAGAATGGTTCAGGGAGCAGGTTTTACTGGGTTTGGGGTCGGGCTGGTTTGTGGACAGCATGTGTGGAGGGGGACTGCATGTGAGGGGTCTCATGGCCCGGAACGGGGTCACGTGTGTCTCCTTGGCTCACCTACCAGCGTGGTGACTTCTCCAGGCAGAGACGAGGTATGACCCATCCCTGGACCCCACACCCAACCCAAGGTGGGCACAGTGTGGGGGCCACTAAGGGTCAGGTGGGAGGGTGACCTGATGAGTGATCTGACCGGGCTTGTCCCCTTGTCCCCACAGCTCTCCCAGTGAAGTGACATCACCGCCTTCCTGACAGGACACCCCTGGGAGCCCAGCTCACAGCCACTGGTACCTTCTTCCAGGTAAAGAAAAAAGAAAGGCCCTAGCCAGTTTGGCTCAGTGGATAGAGCGTTGGCCTGCAGACTAAAGGGTCCCAGGTTCAACTCCGGTCAAGGGCACATGCCCGGGTTGTGAGTTCGATCTCCAGTGGGGGGCGTGCAGGAGGCAGCCAATCAGTGATTCTCTCCCATCATTGATATTTCTCTCTCTCTCTCTCTCTCTCTCTCTCTCTCTCTCTCTCTCTCGCCCCCCTTCCTCTCTGAAATCAATAAAAAAATTTATTTATTTTTTAATGAAGGAAGGAGGTGGGGAGAAAGGAGTTAGAGACAAGCTACATGGAGCAGCCCACTGGGCTCTAAAACAGTGGTTCTCAACCTTCCTCACGCCGCGACCCTTTAATACAGTTCCTCATGTTGTGGTGACTCCCAATTTCATTGTTACAAATTGAACATAATTAAAGCATAGTGATTAGTCACAAAAACTATGTAATTATATATGTGTTTTCCGATGGTCTTAGGCGACCCCTGTGAAAGGGTCGTTCGACCCCCAAAGGGGTCGCGACCCACAGGTTGAGAACCGCTGTTCTAAAACAATGTCTGGCTCTCACATGGGGGCAGCACTTTACAGTTTACAAAAACAGGCAGGGCGAGCGGGGATTGTTGTCCCATTTTACAAGCAAGAAAAGGAAGAACAGATGCCCCTGCTTACTCAGGCGTCCCTGTACTTACCTAAGCACCTTACATGTATAAGCTCATGTAATCCTCACAGCAGCCTGGGAGGCTGGCACTGTTATTATAACTAAGGAGACGGAGGTGTGGAGGCATTAAGGAATTTGCTCCGTTAGTAAGTGGTAGAGCTGGGTTTCAAACCCAGGCAGGCTGGCTCTCGGCGCACATTCCCAACCCTGTGATTTCCTGCTTCTCCAGGGCCAAGTCCTAAACTCATTTACCTTGCCCTCCCATTTCCAGGGGAGATGTGTGCTTTAAGAGAGAATCCTAGAGAATGATGCTTCAGCCAAAGGAATGAATAGCATATAATGGAACTGGAGGCCTTGAGCCATGGAATTGGCAGGAACCTCGAAGGTGAGCTGGCCACCGACTCCTGGGACTGTCCTCCTCAGCAGTGGAGCAAGGCTGGGGTTCTTTGGTTACTGAAGGGAAACCCGGACATTTGAACGAGAGGTAGAAGCGTTGAGGCCCTAGGTCCTCAGACTTGCCTGGAAGTAGAGGGGCTGCTGCGCTTCACAGACACCGTGACGAAGAGAGATGTGAATGACTGCCAGGAGTCCGGATTCTGTGCTAAATCTGAGGCCCCCTTATCCTAGATCAGGAACGGAAGTGTGCAAGCAGATACCAGAGGCTTAAGGAAAAATTGTGTGTATGTGTGTGTGTGGGGGTGAGGGTGGGGTATACTTCATTGAGACCTTTTTTTAAGTAACTTGACTTTTCTGTAAATGAGGAAAGGCAGAGGCAGAGTTGGGATCAGGCTCAGAGGGCTCTGCGAGTGTGCGGTGGGCAAGGCTCTGATTGGTTCCTTCTTTCCTTCCTTTGCACATTTAACCAGCTTTTCTGGCCAATAGACAACAGGCACCTCTTGGTGCCAGCATAGTGCAGGGACCCGGGTCGCCTGCACAGTGGTTCCTCTAGCAGGGACGGGCCTGGTATGCTCGCGGAGTGGATCAGAAGTCTGCCTCTGGGGAAGCTTTTGGCCTGGTGGGCATGGCAGCCACGGAAGCAGATAATTGCTGAGCACACAGGCCTGTGATCCTGTCTCAGGAGCTCTGCCAGACGGCAGCACAAAGGGAGGAGGCAGTGGGCTGGGGGAGGGGGGAGGGTGTCAGACTGAGCTTTGCACAGGATCCATTTGTTAAGATGGATGGGATGTGTTTCGGGGTGGTGGTGCGGGCGGGGGGGTTTCCAGCAAAGTCAGGGCTGGGGGAAGGTGGGCAGTGTGGTGTGCTGGGAACACTGCAGTGTGAAAGGGGGTGGGGAGGGGAGGCGAGACAGGTAGGTGTGAGTGGAAGGAAGCAAGGGAAAGACTCCTTAAATGGCAGGGCTTGTTTTTCTCTTCCCACCCCAGGGCTTGATGAGGAAGCCTGTTTGTGTCATAACCCCACTATTTTACATAAATAAAGAAAATAAATCATTGCTCTCCATCCCCTCAGGGGGCAAAAACTAGTCCGAGACAAGTTTGCTCAGTGCAAGTTTCTGCCAGACTCAGCTTCCTCCTTCTCCTCCCCTCATTTGGGTGCCTCCCTTCCCTGGGCTCCTGGGAGGGGCTGAGAGTGAAAGGCGTCCCCTTCGCCAGGCCCCTGGTCTGGCCCTTGAGGCCCAGCCTGAAGCGCTGGAGACATTTGCTCAAGCTGCCTGCTCCAGGAAGAGCCTGTCAGTGCCAGGTTGCTGTGTTTTTGTGGGTTTTTATTTTTTTGGGGGGGGGGGTGTGGGGTACAGGGGCAGGCCACTCCTCTCAGGAGGGCTCTCTACAGGCCTGACTTAAGGAGTGAACCACTCAGCCCTCCAGGGAGGGCGGCCTTCACCGAGAGCATGCAAGCCTACGCAGGCCCGGCCACTCTACTGGGAACCATCACTAGGACCCATGCTGGGGATTTCTGCGTGCAGAGCGAGGCTGGATGCGAAGGCTGCAGGTCTTTCCTGGCACTGACTTTTGATGATTTTTGATAATCTGAGATCCAGGGATAGTTCTGTTGGATCGCCCCAGGATTGCATGATTGCGTGAGTCTTGGGTGAGGTGATTCTAAGACTGTTTGCAGCTAGAGCTTTTGAGTCTGAGATGCTAAGCTCCGCTCTCTGCCCAAGTCCATATTCCCTGACTTGGGAAAGAGAGGTCCTTTCTGTGCCAGGAGAACCCAAGGCCCCTGGGCAGGGTCCTGAGCCTGGCTCCTGTTCAGCCAGTAGCCCCAAACTGTCCCAAGCATGCGGTTCTGTCCCCCGAGGGCCTCGACTGCGGGTGCGTCTCAGACCTGTCCTGACCTGCTCCAGCCTTGCCTCCTTGTCCGTAACGCAGGGATCTGGTACTTACCGGCAGAGGAGGTGAGATGCTTCATTGAAACGATGTGAGGGAGACCCTTTGTTAACAGCAGAACACTGGCCATGTGGTTAGAATGGTGCTGGGGCTGCAAAGAGGTGTCCCCCTAAAAGGAGGGTCTATGTCCGGTTCTCTGTAAAGCTTTCTTGGCTCCCAGTAGTGCCTGGCACACTGTGGAGGCTTCTCAAACATTTACTGAGTGACCTACAGAGCCTTAGATACGGGGCAGGTGGTACCAGAGGCCACGGTTCCCAGGGACAAACAGGGAGCACAGGAGGACGCAGGCCTGGGATGCAGTGAGCCTGGCCTGCCCCCCAGGAAGAGCGGTCAGAAGTCTCTTGGGACAGAAGTGTTGTGTAAACAGGAGGCTCAGACACCCCCTCCGTGTCCAGAGGTTAATAATGGCCCTAACTGTGGCGTGATTGATCTCCGAGGGCTCCTGCTGAGCTCCAGCCTTAGCCGGTGAGTAACTTTTCCCCAAAGAATGTTGCGGGTGACACCGGAGGCCTCCCTCCTGGCACCTCCTCTCCTGGGCTCTCCCGGCTGGCAGCTGCCTCAGTGACAGATTTCCTTCCTGTCCCGCCTCTGCTTACCTTCTCTGTTGATTGCATTAAAATGTAGGGCTTTCTCTGAGGCTCAGAGGAGTGGGGTGACTTGCCCCAGTCCATAGTGTAATGGGGAGCAGCCCAGATCTCTCCATGCAGGCCATCCGATTGGCAGGGCCATGACCAGGCCCTAACCTGGTCACAGGCCTCATTTTGATGCCTCCAGTCAGTGGCAGGCTCAGGACTCCCAGCTGTCAGCCCTGGGAGCGGAGGGGGTCTGCGCCTCAGACCAGACAAGGACTGAGGTATTGCCCCTCCCTCCTCCCTGAGCTGTCCCATCTCTGCTTCTCTCCCGGGGATGAAGAGAGAGCAGGTGGTTAGAGGGTTTTAGAAGTTGAGTGCCCAAAGGGATTTTGGAGACCATCTGGTGGTGTTCAAACCCCTCAGGATACAGACAGGAAAGCCAAGGCCAGAGGCTTCTGGAGGTCGCCCAGCCTGCTTGTGGCTGTGCTCAGCCACAGCCTGCAGCCCTGGGGTGGGACTGGGGTTGAGGCCCCAGGGAGGGCAGCCATGGCCAAGGAGAAGCGGAGCGATTCCTTCTCTGCATTTGTGCTTTGCCTCCTTCCGCAGGGCCCTGGCAGGCTGCTGGAGAAGATCAGGTCTCTGCCAGTCCCAGCCCTGTGCCCGTCATGGTGTGTGGGGGTTCCCCTTCTCTCCCCTGGGTCCTTGGCCCTACTCTGTGCCCTTGCTCCCTTGGAGCCAACCAAAATATTGAGCTTGGCCCTTGAGGTGCAATTTGCAGTGACACAGATGCTGTGGCTGGCATAGACATGGAGGATGGCAGAAACGTGGGCAGACGTTTCCTCTGGGCGGTAGAGCCAGCCGCCCTGGATTCAAATCCCTCTTCTGTGCCCATTGGCTGTTTGGCCTTGGGGGAATCACTTAATGTCTTGGGTGTGGCCATCTACCTGTCAATCGATATAGATATCTAAATTAAATGCATATATATTCAGTGAATAGATTTTTTTTTTTAAAAGAACAGTTTTTGGTTTATAGAAAAATTGATCAGAAAGTACAGAGGGTACCTACATGCTCTCCCTCTCTGACCTCACAGTTTCCCCTATTAACATCTTACATTAGGGTGGTGCTTTTGTTACAACTGATGGGCCAACGTTGATACAGTATTATTAACTAAAGTCCATGGTTTGCATCAGGGTCCATATTCTATGGGGTTTGATAAATGTATAATGACATATGTGTTCACCAATTCAGTATCACGGAGAATGGTTTCAGTCCTTAAAATCCCCTGTGCCTCCATCCCCAACCCCTGGCAACCACGGATCTTTTGTTGCTTCTATCGTTTTGCCGTTTCCAGAATGTCTTGTAGTTGAATCAGACAGTATGCAGCCTTTTCAGATGGGCTTCTGTCAATA